GGCAGAATCTCCAGGAGGCCTTAAATGTTATTCCTAGGTTTCCTGGAATAAGCCAGAAGGGCAGACACAGGCCAAGGATGTGTCACGAGAGTTTGTTTCACTGGCTGATCTGAGACAGGGTTTCAAGTCTGTCACCATTACTGATGCCCATCCCCTTCCTGCACTGAGCTGGGTGGGAGCGTTGTACCAAGGAACAGTACCAGGAGTTCTCCATGGTACTGAAGGGACATGAAGTGGAACTTGGGTATCCCGACTCCTCACTCGAGCCACTAGGTCACCCTACTCCTGGAGCAAGTTCACTTCTGCACAGCTCCTCAGGCAGTCGAATCACAGATCAACAGTATTAGAAGGGCGTTGCTGGATCTGAGCTGGTGGAAGGGACATTTCTGACAGCAAAAGCCATCACGGGAGTAGAGGCACCTTGAGTGACTGATGATATCACACCACTGGCCTCAAGGCCCAAGTCTACCCAGAACCTTGCACATGCTTCTTCCTACCAGCTGGCCTGAAGCCAGACAAGGCTCCTTGGGAAGACAGTGCTAGCTGCTGCTTGCTTTACCTCCTGGCTGTGGTCTTGATCAATTGTGACAGAAAAGCCAATTGGGAAGAGACATGCGCTAACCAGCAGATCAGCTGAGGGGAGAGGTTTTAATTGATCAGTATGGAAGCTGCTGCTGGTTTGCCACCCTGGCTCCCAATACCTGCCGCCCATGCATGAGATGAATTAACAAGTAATCCTGCCCTTGCCAGCTGAAGCTAATCTACTATTGGAGGTGATGCCAAGGGAGAAACCAGGAAATCAAACAGTGAGAGGCTGTGGTGTCAGCTCCAGCTTGTGCTGAACAGTTAATTGTAGTGAACAGCTCCACAACTCCTGCCTCGGGCTGGCAGCCTCTCTCCTGCATCACACAAAACACTTTGCCTGGAAGTGGCTTTGGCCCTGCTGACTCAGCTCTTCCAGGCTCTGCCATAATGGGAGGGGGAGCTGAACAGCATGGAGTCAGACCCGGAGGGGGATGGGGCTTGCAATGGAAGGTGGCAGCAAGATGACTTTTTAAGGCTGCATAACAGGCCTGAAGACAAAGCCATTGCTGCTCAGATAGGAGTAGCAACAGCAAGGGACATGCCTAGGCTTCAGACGGAGCCTGGAAAGTCTGAGGGGGATTTATGACCTGGCTGCCTGTGATAGTCTGGCCTCAATGATCCAGGTCCTTTCCAGTCCTATGTTCCCACAGCACAGCATGGGACCTCTCTATATGACTACAGTCACTGTATTCCTGGCATGGCATGCACTATCCTGGACAGCATATTGCTCAAAAGGTGCAGACAGGTTTGACAGACAGAACTGCTTCCAAGAGCCAGACACCAGGGGACTGTGCTGGGGTGCAGGACTTAAGAGCTGAGCAAGGGGAAGATCCCAGAGAAGGCAGGAGCAGTAGGACAAAGTTAAGAAGAAACTCCATGGAGATCTGTTTGGCTGAGGAACAGGTGATGGGAGCCCCTAACTGAACATCAACTTGGGCAAAGCAATGTATGATCAAGGTACAACCCTGCATTGATCCAGGGGGTACAAGTGAAACCCAGTGGACAGGGTGCTTTCCAGTGGAGGGCCACCACAAATGGATTCCACATGGATGAAACATGATCCCTCAGTATTTGAGGAAAGCTGAACCACACCAGGAGGCAGATTAATGAGCTGCCGGGGGGTGAGAACTCTATTGTAGTAATGCAAGTGAACGAGGAATTGTGGCAGGCCACTGAGTTGGTCCTAGTAGGCTGTGTGCCATGCACTCCTGCACCAGACAATTTGCAGTCACCTCCAATAAATAACTACAGCAATCACACTCCCATCACCAGGGCTGCATGGCCCTTCCTCAGGGTCAGTCATTAGGGCAGTGCTAAAGGTGGCTTAGCAAAGTGCCTGCACAAGTGTATGTGTGTGTCTGCATAAGGGCAAAGGTTCCCGATTGCAGCTGCCTCTGGGGGTGGCATGCCCTGGTCGGGGCCCTCAGCAACCCTACTTATCTAGTGCTCAACCATCTCAGCTTCCCCTTGTCTGGCTGGCAAGCAGGTAGGCTACTCCTTCCTTAAGGCCCCTACAGAGATGGGCCTGGTGCTCACCAGAGGGGTAGGGGACACTATCTGAAACCAACAATTGGAACTTAACCCCCAACCCCACCTCCCCTGGGTGTCCACTCTGGGGTGAGTCAAACACCGAGTCAGGCTGGGCCATGGAGCATGTTCCCTTCAGCAGCACCTGATGCTGGAGGGAGGGCAGCAGGCCTTAGGGCTAGGTTTGCACGACAGCAAGAGCGGGCTGACCTGCACCAGCTTAGGCACCAGGATCAGCCAAGCTGTGTTAGCATGAACTCAGCACAGGCTGGAAGAGCTCAACACGGACCACTGGCAGCCCATGTTGAAATGGCTGCACTGCTACCATCACCTGAGCTGGTTAACAGCTAGAGTGGGCAGGCATGCTCCAACTGTGGTCAGACTCCTTAAACCAGTAATTCTTAACTGGGGTGTCAGAGCACCCCAGGGTGCCGGGAGATCTTTTTCAGTGTTCTGTAGGATGCCACACAGTATTAGCCCTGTTAGGTGTGCAAATACCAACATGATTCAGTAGATAAACCCAATGATTTCAAGTGGGAATCCAGAGTGTCACTAATGTTTTGCCCTGCTCTGGGCTTTCCAAGTTCTTTGCAACATAACTGATATTTTTTCTGTACTCAAGAAAGAAATGAAAACAAAGAGTTGAGATTTTCCAAGGAGGCCCCGAATCTAATGAGGTCGAGAACCACTGCCCTGATGGTCTTTATCAAAGTACAGATGTCCTATCTCCAGGCAGATGGCTCTTTGAGCATGCGCTACATTCACCTCAGACTTCTGGTGCATATAGCTGAAGTCCATTCGCTGCAACACCTGATAAAGGCAACAACTGCTTATAAGCAACATCTTCCCTACCATGCATTCAGCCAACTCCCTACGGCAGCAACATGTATTTAACAGGGATCAACACCTAGCTAGCAGGCATCAGCGAAACACTGAAGACGACAAGGAAGAACTACATGCAAAAAGGCCTCCTTCCACTGAACCCTGCCATTGCCCCAGCGAGGCCTCGGTGTAACATGCGTGAACGTCTTTGTTTTAACACACTGTACAGATGAGGGATCAGATTCAAACCCCTTTGCACTCTCCTTGTTGTGAGAGCCCAAGTGCCACCCCAGCCCCTGCTAATCTCAGAATCACGGGGCTTGGCCCTCAGGATAGCTGGTGGGCAGGCAGTGACAGAGCAAACATTTTTATGAGTCAAGTGGTAGCTGCTCTGGTGCCTGCCAGGAAGAGATGCTGCAGGAAAACAGCCAGGGCTCCACCCAACAATCATATGGCGATGAAGCGGGTAAACTTCATGTTCCTTACAGAGGAGAGCACAGAGCATTATAGAGCAACAGGCTGAGCAGAGCTGGGCATCAGACCAAGTCCACACTCCCTGGGCAAGTTCATCTCTACAGTCACATAACAAGAATGGCTGGATCTGCTCTAGACCCTGAGCACAGATGATTATCCAGAGACTAAAGCACATTTTACTTGTGATCTGAAGAAGATTTGAACCCAAGGCTTAAGAGGCAACAGGCTGATGCATTAAGAACTGCTCTGTGCATGGACCACACTCCACGAGGGGATGGCTCTCCAGGCAGAGGACACTCTCCTCTAACAAGTTCTGGGAGGAAGATCTGGCTTGCAGCGAAAGAGCTTTGGTTATCTGAGCCCCACGAGCCTGTCACTGCAAAACAGAAGGTCAGATCAGAGCGTCCAGAACAGCCACCACCAGAGCCACATGTGGAAATGCAATGCAGGTGGCCTTGCATCCCGGGCTGCACTCATAAGAGACCACATTGATCTGCACAGGTAACATGTGCAGCCTCCCAGAAAACCCTGGACTACTTCTGCACTTGTGAGGCACTTGCCCAATACACCCAGCTCAGCCTCTGAGGTGACACTGAGCTATAGCAAAGGCTTCAGGGCCTTTCCTACCAGGCACCAATAATGCCTTGAGAGAAGGAGAGCAGGCTGTTACTACTCAGTATCTCAGGAATCTGCTCAGGCACTCACAGGACAAGCTCCTTCCTTCTGTAGAGGCTCAGAGGAAAGGAGTTTCACCAGGGCCATGTAGGAGGCACATTTTGTGCAATGGGCTTCATGCCACTGCTTTGCACAGCCCTGTACATTGAGAACTCAATCCTCTGAGGGCCTGAGCACCCCTGTCTCCCAACAAGTTGAAATGGAGACAGCTCAATCCCTCAAAGGATAAGGTGCTGGGAAATGGGTGCTCAACTCCAGGCAGGCTTAGATGGAGTGAGCCAAAGCACAATTAAGTCAGGAGGGAAGGGCTGGGAACTTCAGGGGGTGAGTACAGCCCTGTCAGTGCAGTGCTCCATCCAGGCCATTTACTCTAGTAAAGTACTAGCTCTCAGATCTCTGCACTGCACCCTAGACATTCCTTAAAAAAAAGCAGGAGTGGAAAACCAGTGCACATTCTAAAAGATCTGAGCTGCACCCGGCTGAGTCTGCAGTTGAGAACACAGGGCAGGAATCATATTGAAATGCATTTGTACTTGGACAGGGTCTCTTTAAAGCTCAGGAGCTGAAAGGGTGCCAGCTCAAGACTTCCAGCAATAAGACCAAGAAAAATTGATACATCAAGGCTTTGCTAATGCTAAGTGACTGAAGGGCTCTGCTCTGTTTAAAACTACAACCAGATTAAGTGCATTCAAATGTAAATCCACCTTTGCTTCTGCTGAGCCCTGCATATGTTATGTGGCTACAGCCAATCCAGAAGGGGAAAGAAAACTGATGGGAGGTTAAGGAAGATTCAAAATTTAGTTTCATATGATAGTCACACAGAGGAGAACCTCTCCAGCAAAATACCAGCAACTTATAAATGGCCACATGCTGCTTTGAAAGGCCATAGCAGGTTCCAAGCACTAGACATCACTTACCAACATATTCGGAGAGGAACACGACAAAGAATGGAGTGACCAGGTCATTTATTCCCTGGACATAGCCGCTGGCTGGGTGTCGGATGGCCCAGATGAACAGGATTCTTTCGAAGATCTAGGGAAAGAATGAAGGAAAGCCACATACTCGCATCAACCACCTCCAAATGAAAGGCAGAGCAGCACATCAGATAAGTTGCGGGTGGGGTTATGGTTTAGCAGAGCCATTTCTAGAAGCAGCTCTGATAGGATCAGGGCTGAACAGGAGGAAACATCCAGATGCCTTGGTGCATGTAATCCACAGATCCCTCATCAGCTCTGCCCAAACCTCCCTGGATTACAAGGTTTGTTTTTTTTGGCAAAGCTCATGATGTGAAGCCTGATTTTCTAAGACCTAGACGCAGCCCTGGCTGTGGTCTCAGGCAGTTATCAGTGTCTGATCAGAGCCAACTGCACTGGAAGCAGTCAGTCACCCCAGAAACTTATCTGTACACATGTGCTTGAGACATTTCTCTAATGGCAGTGATGCGACAGTGCCACTAACCAAGCCAGCACCCAACAGCTAAACTTTCATGTTAGGCACAGTATCTTGGCCTCTATTTTCTGCCACAGCAAGCTGCAGTCATTGAATGGCCTCTTGAAATCGTTTTCATGGTGCGGCAAGTTTCCCAGAGGGTTGCAGCATGTGCTATATGCCCGACTGTTCTTTGCCTCCATAGATATTCCCTTCTCCCTGAGCTCCAGAAGCGCACTCCCTGCCATACGTGTACAGGATGTGATGCGATTCAAGAGATCAGTGTGAAGAGACACAGAGTGTGTTAGCAAGGAGTCTAGCCCCTGTCTTGGAGTTCCTCCTCCAATGTATCCTGATCCTTGCGGAAACCAGAAGACTCATAACCTTGCATTGTATTCTAGCCCAAGAAAGGACACTCTTCCCTGACTGTTTTTACCTTCTCTTAGGCTATTCAGGCCATTCTAGAAAGCCTCCCAGTCATACAATGAAGATGAGTCTCATGACAGCTCCCACGTGCCATCATAAGGCCTCCTGTTCTAGCTTCAGGGCCTTGGCTTGGTGTCAAACGGAACTTCCCCTTCCTAATCAACCCACAGTTGCTTTTGGCAAATGATTAGCTATGTTCTTTATAGCTAGAGCTCTTGGCTAGATCTCTCGCCCAGCACAAAGCAGCCCGGAAGGTTGAGGAAAGTAGTTGCTACCAAGTTGTAGAATGTGTCAGGACTTATCTCCATGGGGAAGGTCACAGGCAAACTACATAAGCTTAATCAATCACAAGCAGAAAACAAAGCTCAAAGTCAGCCTGACCCCAAATGGCCCTGCAGGCTGGCAGGCATGCTAGTCTCCAGCTAAGGCACACAAGGCAGGATGTGGCCGGCATCACATCCAGCCCCTTTCAACTCCTCAGCCAGAAACGACTCAGCCCGTGTTTATGGTTGAGCTAACCAGGGGCCTCTGGGATGAGGCTACAGCAAGGTTCACACTCACACCCTGGGATCCAGGGAGCTGTTCTCACCCTTCTGCCACCCTACTCCAACATCAGACTGGCATTGGTGTCCATATGGACAGAATGAGAGGGGCTTTGTTGCCTTTGTAGCTGGCAGTTCTTTCAGTCTGACACAGTCCAGCTGTAGACTTGTTCCTCAGAGTTATGCCCCATATCCGCTCCCTGCCACAGGGAAGAAGGGACTGGTGAACAACCAGCAGCCCAGACATCCTACTGGAGTCAAAATCAAGGCCTACAGGACAGTGCCGTAGACACCCTCATTCTAACCTCAGCCCCTTTGCTAACTTGCTGTGTGACCTTGGGCAAGTCACTACCATCTCTGCGCCTCAGTTTTCCTTCCCATCTTTTGGGGCTGGCCTCCCTATCTCTAACAAGGTGGTTCCATAGCCCAGGTCCCCTGGATGAGGTTTCCAACATTTCACATCGCATCACTGCCACCTTGAATGCTCCCCCCAGAAGAAATAAAACAAAAACTTCTGCAAGATTCCTTCCCCTCACAAGGAATCAATGCTTAAAGCATGTTCGTGGAGTTTGGTTCAGTTACCTTAAGAACCATGCAGTAGAAAAGGAAGAGGAGTTTCACCCACACAACCGTCTCCATAAAGCCAGGCAAGATGATTGTCCTTGACCACCCACTGGCCAGCAGGGAGCCCCACCCTGCTTAGAAGTAAGTTCCAAAAATCAATGCGACTGGATTAGACCTGCTGGAATGATCCTCACAGCAGGGAGCAGGTGGTCCAAGGAGGACACGCCGAAGCCAGAGGGCCCTGATGCCCTAGTTAAGAAGAGGAGCATCTCCTGCGGAAGCCCATGGTCACCTGAAGGAACTGGCCTGCCCCACCACAGGCAGGCTAGAAAGAATCAGCTCCTCACCTCCTGGACTAGTGGCTGCTGGAAGAGTGGAATGAGAGGGTTGGTCCTTGGAATGTCGATGTGGATCTGAAAGGAGAGCGGGTTATGCATGTCAGCCACATGGGTCAGAGGGAGCAGCTGTTACACAGATCAGTGGGGCTATTTGGTGGAGGGGAAAGCTGACTCCCTCTGCAGGCCCAGAGGAACAGCAAGGAGGCTGAGGAGCTCAGCAGGAAACATCTATAATTGGGACCCAGGCTGGGAAATTCCCTGCAATAACCTCCAGCCCCTGTGCTTGATTCTGTGGGAGCAGATGGAGTGTGAAATGCCTTTAGGCTTAGTGACTGGTGCAGGGGTGAGCTGCTTAAGGGAGGATGGACTTCAGGTAGAGGGGAAATCAGACAACATGGCACCTAGAGAGATCTGTAAGGAACTCCATGGCCTGCCCTTGGTGGTGGGGGTGGTAAAACAGCCCCCCTAAGCATGCCAGGACACAGATGAGAAGGAGATGAAAGAAGAACCACTCGGGGGGAGGAGGGGCTGGCTAGCAACTGGAGGAAAGCCCATACCTGCCGGTAGGTGTCCTGATGATGCTCCTCATTCCGGGAATCATAATACTGCTCAATGAAGCCAAAGTACTCCTCCCGTTTACGCTGCAAAGTCAGCTTCCGCCGTTCCATGTTGGCGGGGAGGTAGCCCTGTAGGGGAAAGGCAGTGTGTCCAGGAAGGCCCCTTCCCTTTGCTCCTGCCCCAGCTGGGCCAGTGCCTGTGAAGTTTGCCAGGCAGTGCTTTCAGCCTGCACAAAGCTCTGGGGTGGGAGCAGCTCACAAGGGCTTCAACACTGCCAACACAGGATTGCCTGGTTTCTCCCCTTCCTGACCTGGGGCAATCTGCCAGCAGCCAGCTGCAGGCCTGGGTCAGTCCAGAGTTGACTAGCTGCTCCGCACCAGCTGCTCTTCAAACCTGCCGCAAGACACCAATTACCTACAGGAGTGAGCTGTGCAGGCTGACTAGCCAGGGTTCAGGGTGGTGGCTGCCACCATTGGGGACGATGACCTCACTGGCAGTCTCAGAGCTCAGATTATTCACACCTGATCCCTGGCACAGGGGGAGAAGGGACAAGTGGGCAGCTAGCAGTCTGAATGTCCAACTGGAGTCAGTCAGCGCCTGCTGGATGGCATTTCAGACACCTCTGTTCTAACCCCAACCCCCTTGCTAACTGGATGTGCAACTTTGACTTCTCGGGGAGCACAAGGATGGCTAGACTGTGTAGGGGAATACGGAACTGAACTGACTCTCTGTACTGACCATGTGCCATAAGGCAGGGCCAAGCACCTCTGGTGGTGCTCTCCTCTACCTTGGGGATTGTCAAGAGAAGACTGGACAAGCACCTAGCTGGGGTCATCTGACCCCAGCACTCTTTTCCGCCCAGGGCAGGTCAGGCTGGATGACCTACTGAGGTCCCTTCCAACCCTAACATCTGTGAACCTCCAGCCCAGTCACACATGCTCCCACACGTGTAGTCCCAGAGGCTAGTCCAGTTGTCTGTACGAGGCTGCAGCAGGCCTTTGCCTTAGTACTTACCGACAGGAGCCGCCATGTCACAGGTCGGACCTCCCTGGGCACACCAGGCCAGCTGCACTTCCTCAGCTCATCTGCAAACGGACAGTGGTGTCAGTGGGTTAGATCCCTAGGCACGTCCTGAGTGAGGTCCACAGCTAGTCAGGACTACACCTAGAAGGAGAGGAAACCCCAGTCTGCTCCTGTGGGCTCTAGAGACACCGTGTCCACAGCAAGGTTTGGCATTAGCCACACACAGGATGCGCTGTAGGGCCACAGGGGCTTGGACCCAGCCAGCCCAGAACCTGTGTCCCCAACATCACTAGCAGCAGATGCAGGGGGCTCCAGTCCAGCTGATCCCTGCTCAGTTAGCACCAAGTATCCACAGAAGAGCCTAGTACCCCCAGCAGCAACCGCATCCAGCTCCCACTGGTGCTGTTCCACGCCCACATTTGATGGATGCCACAGGACCCCAATGATATACCCCGAACCTCCCTGAACTACCCCTTTCCCCTGCACTCACCCAGGTCCGTACTGTGGTTGGACAGGAGCTGCCGGAACTTCTCCAGACGGGTTTTCTCTCGCACAGTCATTGGAGGAGCCCCTGAGGCATTTTGGTCAGAGATGCGGGCGACAAGCGGGATGATGGGCCTGAGTGGGAGAGACTGCTGCTTGTGGAGTGGGTTCCGCACACAGGTGTCCTCTGTCAGAGGGCAAAATGACAGTCAAAGAGCCAGCAGGGTGGGAGCAACATCACAGCAGAAGTCAAGCACAGGACAGGGACTCAGGGAACCTATATTCTGTTCCTGAACTGGGCCTCAGGCTCCCCTGTTGCCTACAGAGGGATAAAGCCCTACTTCTGGGTTTGTCTGCTAGTGTGTGCACACTGCTTTGGGATCCCTCCAACCCCCTAACAAAGGAGAGGCTTGCCCAAGGGGGGGTGCCTTCTCTAGTCCTTGGGACTGCATTAATACTTCAGGAAGCTGGATAGTCCAGAGTCAGCCCTGGTCCTATGTGCACCCTGGCAAGCAATAAGACCTCCCTCAAAAATCTCCCATCATTCCATTGTTCCTGGGCTTGCCTTCCCCCTTCCCCTAATGCACTTGAGAAATAGAAGCTATGACCAACATCAGTGCTTCACCCTGGCAGCATTAATTCCTTCTACTTCCTTCTACCAGAAACTCTTGTACAGCCTGGGGACATCACAGGATGGGAACTCAGACTGACTTCAAAGCCATGGTCCAAGATGGAGCACAGCCAGCTTCCTGCTGCTGTTTTCATTGTTTCCTCCTGTTCAACCCCTTCCTCTTACTCCCGTATTCATGCTCTCCTTCCTTCCTCCCGTTTGCATTCAACACACTAGGCTGCCATTTGCTCAGAACCTGACCACTGTATGTCAGCAGAAGAGGGCACTTGGGGATTACGGCAAAACCAATGTTACTTAGCCCACATCGCTGGGCCTCCTTCGTGCCAAGGAGCAGGCACCTTGGCTTGCAGAACACAACAGGCATTGCACAGACTCTGTTGCCATCTGCTGGCTGCTGAGATCTATAAACTTACTTTCTGAGCAACCAACCTGGAGCCGTAAAGGACCTTCTGGGCTTCTTTAGCAGCCTGAAAGGATGGATTCACAATCCTGGGGGATGCTGACCCAAGGCTGACAGGCAAAGGACTATAAGCAGGATGTGGACCCCCAAAGAACCCCAGGCTAAATGTTGCTGGTGGAGAGGTAGCTGCTGGGCCTGGATTTGGGGCATGAGACTAGTAATGTAGGGACAAATCAAGGTCCATAAAGTGGCAATTCTTCTGTAAGCCTCTATGTGGGCAATAGTGAGAGGTTCAATTCAACAACAACCACTCAAGAAAGCATGTTTGCAAGAGGTACTCACCAGATGTTCTGGAGAGCTGGGCTTCACTGCTGGATTTGATGACTTTACAGTTGGTTGGCATCTCGTTCAGTGCAGATGGGGTCCGCTCAGGCTTCACCCGCAGCTTGCTGTGGTTCTCCAGGACCTGGGCTGCTGTGGCCTTGGCCACTTTTGAGTTCAGGGTCTGGAAGGAGAAGTCTTCGTCTTCATCATCGCCAATGTCCCAGGCATCGCTGGTGTTGCGGGCAAACTCGTGGAAGCTAGAGGCCTTCTTGCTCTTCAGGGGCAGTGCGTTGACCTTGGAGCGGTCCTTGATGAAGCTGGGGCCATGGGGAGAGTGCGTCAGTGCTAGGATACAAGGTAAGCCTGGCCTCTTTCAGCCCTCAGTCCCACATGGCTCCTCCCAAGGGTTCCATCCTCTTTCCCTTCCAAGGGCTGCCCAATACAGCACCACACCAGCCTCTTTATCTTAGAGTATGACCTCCTGCCCTCTTCCTCAGCCTATGCTAAGGAATGCGTTAATCCTTCTATGAACCCCACCCCCGCCACAAGCAGGCTGCCCAAGAGTTCTAGCCTGAGCTGGTAACAGCTGAGCGCCAGCAGGAGAGGTGCCAGAGAGTCTGGCTCCTCTGCCCAGCAATACAAAGAGAACAAACTCCCATAACTCCTGGCTGCACAAAGTGGCTGCCAGGCTCACAGACACACAGACCAGGGAGATCAGTAGCCACACTTAATCTAGGGAGAGGCAAGCATAGCAGGTTTGTGTGTATGTGCTTCTGCCCACGGCTGTGGCAATCCTAGTTGTCAGAGCTGGGCCTGGATATGTTTTCAGACACAGCCAGAGCATCTGCCTTGTCTTCATGCTGCAGGAATCGAAGTCCAGGTGCCGGAGTGTGCCCAGGCACCACTGTGCAACATGATAAGGAGACAAGGCCAGGAGATAACATCTCCCTTTAAGGGCTGGGGAAAAGTGGTGCTGACTTGAAAGCACTGGGACTAAGTGTTTTCCATATGCCACACTGCTGGTGCCCCACACACTGCTTGCTCCTCCTGTTCAGGAGCTCAGGCTCCATGACTCAAAGTACCCCTCACAGACTTTCGGCTGAGATGGCCCAAGTTGGTGCTCGTGAGTGGGCTGACAGCTGTGGATGTCCAGCCACTAAAATTATAGTGTGGCTGCCAGCTCATTTCACACAGGCCAGCAAACAGCCGACACCACTCATTGCTCACCAACAACACAGGCAGATTCAGTCTAGCAAACCAGAGGGGCAAAGCTGCCAGACTGCAGAGGAGATGAAGGTCCAAGATCCTTCATGCAAGACAGGGTAGGAAACACCCTTGCAAACCAGAGGCATAGAGACCTCACTGCCTGCCCAAGAGGGAGTGGTGAGGCCCCGCACTTACTTTTTAGTGAGCCGGGGATCCAGTGGCGGGTGCTGGGCTCCGTAGACAGGCTGAATGCTGCAGGGAAAACAAAAGCCACAGAAGTGTTGTGAACAGATTCCTCAGATGCAGACAAGCTCGTGCTAAGCCATTCTTGGAATCCAAACGCAGGTTGAAAGCAGCTTCAATGGGATTCAGACATCACCTCCTTCCCTCCCTGCCCTGACACACTGAACTCCTGACAGTTCCGTGGCTTGGCTATGGCGAGGGGAGCAGGGGCTCAGCCTGGTCCCAGGGTTCTCTTCTAGGCCATCACTGACTCATTGGGTGAGTGATGCTGCATCTCTATTTCCCCTCTGAATAAGCCAGGGAAGCACTCCCCTAGAGCAGTCGGGCAGGAGAAGCATCCTTTGTTACGCTTTCAAGTACCTAGAGGAAGATGCTCAGAGAAGCTGTATTATACCATGACACAGGGGAGCTCTTGGTTGTAAGGGGCCGATGTTGAGCTCCAACTGACAATGACCAGGAACAAAAGGGCACATTGGAAGACCCAACTGGAACTCCAGCCCAGCTCAGGCAGCAAATTGCTACGTGATCCCAGGATGAGTCACTTTGCCTTGGTGCCTCAGTTTCTCTTCCTGTCAAGTGGGGCTGACATTCCCATGACTCAAAGGATGGGACGTGGCATAACAAGGTGTATTTCCAGGATGCCTGTAAGTGCTAATGCATTATGTGATGAGCACTGTATCAACAGCCTGAAAAGCCCAAGCATTCCTGGAGGACTGAGACTGTCCAAACCAAACCCAGTCCCTTCGCACACATGTCCTCTCTGCATGGGACTGTAGGGACAACAGGGCCCATCCAGAGCTGGCCGACACAGGGACACGTCCATGCGGGTTGATGCAACTGTCCCTACTCCCACCAGCTGTGGGCAGAGCCCCTTGGCTCCATACAGAGCCAGCAGCACCAAGCCATCCCAGACAGCAGGGAAGGGGTGGCGGATGGCTTGACTGCAGCTGGAAGACGCAGTGAGTATTGGAAACATCTGGCTGAGGGAAGGCAGCAGCCCAGACACAGCTGGCAGCAATGCCACAGATACAAGGAAACAGCAGAGCTATCACAGGCAGAGGCAAGAGACAACTGCAGCACAGGAGAGGCTGCAACAATGGGCCCTTCATACGAGGGCAGCAGTGCGGAAGCCACACCAGGGGTGGCTTGCTGTGCAGCAGCTCCTGGTTTGGAGCCTGGAGCTCTGAAAAGGCTGGCAATGGGCTGGGCTGGCACTTTTTCCAGACTAATTAAGACAGAGGCACCAGGACAGTTATTAAATGGAGGTGGCCATGTAGGCACCAACCACAAGCCGATTATCAAGAGTAAAACAAAATTAGTACTACAGATTGCAAACAGCCCAGGGCAGCTTCTGCTAGAGCTGCCTGGGGTAGGCAGTTGAGCTGCTCTCAAGGCTCAAGTGGGGTTTGTATGGTCTTATAAGCCCACTCCTTTACACAACAATTGGATTCACAGGATGGAGGATCTCTCTGCTCCTAACGGGAGGCTGCTAGAATGGGATAAATGCGAGAGTCCTCTGGGGAACAGACCATTAGTCCCCAACTCAGGCACCCTACCTCCAGATCTGTTAGGTACCCAGTGCTCTTAAGATTAAACCTTGGAGTAAGAAGCCCCTTTCTGGTGCCCTTGGACAGTGAGAGATGCTCAGAAAGGCAGGCCTGAACATCCAAGACAGACTGGCCTAACCCAAGATATTGGAAAAGGCTCAGATTTCCAGAGTTTGTCCTTTAAAAGAGCCCAAAGCTGTGCACTCTACTATAGCAGCATCATCCCCACACAAGGCACCTCTGGCAATATAGCCCATATCATCTTATCCCACTCAAAGAGCCTCTAGTGTTGGTCTGCTATTTCTCAGCCTCTCTGAAAGGGCAGCTCCTGAACTGGATGCAGACTCCTTGCAACAGCGAGTTTCAGAGGTGCCCGTACAACTCGTGCGGTAGGCATATTCTGCCACTGACTTCACTGGATAACCCCCCGCCCTGGCTGTCCTTCTAAAGACAGGCTGATGGAGAGAACAAAGCAAAAGACAATCAGCAATGCTCACAAGAAGGAAGCTACAGTGGGGCAACTTCTAAGGATACACTGGAGATCGCACAAGCTTCCACTTGCCAGCAAACACTTCATTTCTTTGCACTTCTCCCCCACCCGGTAAGTCATGAACATATCAATAAGCACAAGCTGATGTGGCTGAAAAGTCTGCAGGCTTCTCACAATACAACCTGACTGCTTAGAGCCCTACTGCAAACTTTTTTGTTTTTGAAGGAAGTGTAGGTGACTGTTTCTAACTTTGTAGTGGTTAGAGCTACCAGGGGTGCATACGATTAGAAAAAAAAACTGTGAAAACCAGCTTTATGAGTCATTTATGTGGCTGACTTGCCTAAGCCAGCCAGCAAGAGATATCAGAAACCACGAATAGCAAAAGCTTAAACCAGACTGTGAAAGAGCTGAGCAGCTTACACAGGAGGGTCTGAAAGTAAAACTTCATCCTCACTGTCTGATCAGGGGAAGGACAAGCCTGATACTAAGAAGTTTTTCAACAGAGGATCCCAAAGCAGCATGCAAAGCTGGGCTAGCCAATCCTCACTCCTGCAAGCGGGCAAACCAAGGCGGAAAGAGGACTAGTGGCTCTGGGGATGACTATCATTAAAAATCCCCAACATTTATTATAGAATACACCAATCTTGATCTCTCGGCACCTCTGACACCGTTGATTTCTTAAATGGAGCTCAGTTTGGCTAATGAAACTAATCTGCGAAATTCCCCTTTTTGGATTGAGTCAGCTTCACCTGGTCATTCTCCTCCACTGACAGATGACACTGGATCAGTGAAGAGAGCACTGGACCTAGGCTTTGCTCCAACTCCGGCAATGACCTACTGGGTGACCCTGGAACAGTCACTGTCCATCTGTCTCTTCCCTCCTTCCACCTTCACCTACTGAAATTTAAATACAAAAACTCTTTGAGGCAGGGTCTCTTTCACTTCAACACAAAGCAGCTCTCCACTGTGGTCCATCCGTTCTACTGCATATAAAGAGATGAATTGTTTAGTGTCAATGCAGCGGCAGAAAGTAAATCCTAGAAGCCTGCCAATGACACTTCAAAAAGCAAGCCACTGTTACTCCCACGGAGCGGCATAACCCACTTTTATTATTAAGGCCCCAAGCACGGAGGGCAAGCAATGCGGTGTCCTGCTGAGCATCTCTCCCTAGAGCAGGACTTGACAGAAAGCACCGGGCAGGACACGAGGGAAACTAACCAGGTTCCTCCTATTCAGCAAGACACAGCCGGGCTCAGACTTCCCACAGTGCCAGCTGGAAGTGTTGTTAGTAACAGGAAAAAGCAATGAGTGGCTCGATTCTGTCACCTGCATCCAGCAGGTGACAGCAGGCAACTCGCTTTCATTCCACAACTTCATCCCCTCCTGCGTGTCTAAGACGGGAATAAGGATGCCTCCGAAACGGTACGGTCACAACGAACTACCACACCATAAGCACCCGGCGCCTACAGAAAGCTTCAAGGCTCGTCTCTTCCCTCTCAGGAAAATCGAAGTGGAGGTAGTGAACACACAAGGGAAAATCCCAAAAGTGAGCAAAGAGTAAAAGAAACTTCCCTTTCACTGTGCAAGCTCCTTTTTGGATATCACCCCAAAGCGATCGCACCTGGACCATGCTACAGGGCCAGGAAAGGATCAGCGTGCAGAAGACTCGAGACAGAGCTACCCCTATCTTCCACAACAGACGTGACAGGCTGGCAGGGCGCAAGACAAGCAACTTCTCCCAAACCTCGACCCCCAGGAAGTTGGAGCGCAGGGCTTGGGCTTGTCTGGCTCTGGGCCGGCTGATCTCTTGACACCAAGTTGGAAAGGGAGGAGAACCGCTCGGCAGGGCAGCGTCATGGGGGCATGGAGCGACAAGCGCGAGGCCGCTCTTTGTCACCACCGTGGAAATCGCGGCCCCCGGACGCGGCGGGGCGGACAGCGCGGGGCCCGGGCCCGGTCCTGGTGCCAAGGGGCTGCGGGGCCTGACTGGGAGCGCCCAGGCCTGCGGTGCTGAAGGCTGCCGGGGAGGCACAAGGGGACACAGCCACACGAGGGCCCCGGAAGGTCGCGGGCGGGGAGGAAGCAGCACCTCGGGGCCTCGAAGCCCGGTCTGGCCCGGGGGCAACTCAGGCCTCACCTCCCCGGCAGCTTGGCACTCCGCTTCCAGAACTGCTTGCTGCTGTCGGCGGCCATGGCGGGGCCGGGCCCCGGGCGGGAGCGGCGCGGCGGCAGATCCCGGAGCCGCGGGCCGAAGCCGCTTCACCGCCTCCCTCCGGGGCCCCCACGACCCGACCCCGGCGCCGCCATCTTGGGTGCGGGAAGGCAGAGCGCGGCCATTGGCTGCGAGGCTCGGGCGTCTCCCGCCGGACCAATGCGGAGCCGCGATGCTGCAGGGACGTGAAGCGAGGGCACGGGAGAGGGGGCGGAGCCTCCCGCTTCAGGCGGGAGAGACCATCTGCGGGAAGGGAAGGACGAAGCCATTTTCACAGAGGAGGAGGGGGCGGGGTGTACGTAGGCCGAACCATCCCTGAAGTAGTCTGGAAGAAACCAACTTGCTAGAGAAGGAGTTTAAACCAAGCTGGGAAAGGGTCAAACCATCTTCCCTGGGAAGAAGGGGTGGGCAGAGTTTAAACCAAGTGCAGGGGGAAAGTGGGTTAAACCATCTGTGCCGGGGAGGAGTGAGCTGCGGTTAAACAGCCTGCCTGGGGAGAGAGGATGGGTCAAACCACTCGCCCCGAGCAAGAGGGGTGAAACGCTGTTTGAGAGGGAGTGGGTTAAACCATTTCCGCTGAGGGGAAGGGGGTGTCATTTCTGGGTGGGTAAGGTGGGGGGGGCTCCCTGCAGTTAACCCCTTCAGCCCCAGCCTAGAGGGGCAGAGGGCCAGGCAGACGCAGTGGGGTGGGGTCCGCGGGGCGCTCGGATCCCTGCACATCCACTGCGCTGGCCCGTGAACTTGCCATGTGAGCCTCAGTGCACGTAGGGCCTTGTCCTAAGTTAACGCCCCCCCTCCCCCCGAGCAGCCGGGCCCTGCGCAGCCCGCTGAGGAAGCTGCCGGAGCAGCATGTGCAGGTGATCGGGGGCTGTGTGCCCCCCCGCTTTGATTTCTGCTCCACCCAAATGTTTAAAACCAAGTGCGTGGCAGGCGCCACCACCGTATTTCTGTTGAGAGGGGCCTGAGAGAGCCCCTTGACCTCTGTCCTCTCCCAGATTCCTGTTAATCTCTTTCCACTCCGCCAGTGTGAACAACCCTCGGTCCCTTTCAATGGTCCTGATGTCCCACCAACACAGCTATCCTTTCCTCTGCGCGATTGCTGTCTGTTATCCTGCTGGTAATGGGAGTGAAATAGTGACATTGTAGCCCTGGTGGGCCCGAAATGACACGAGGGGCAAGGATTTTTTAGGGCCTTCTCTGTTACTGCACCAGCTATGGCGCTGGGGTAAAGCTGGACAAGCTTCCGAACTGCAGACGTGGTTCTTCAGCAAGCCGGCCAGCTGTGCCCCGCTCCCAATCTTCACACCTGAGGAAGAACGTCTTCCCTTTGCAAGCTGCCTAACTTCCCGGCAATGTCCAGGGACCCTGGGTTTCTCTGAATTCAAAAAAATCCCAGATTTTTGGTTAAAAAACAGTAACCCCAATCCACATTTTTCCATGATTAAAACAAAACACCACTATATACATGGACACGCACACATCTATACACACATATATACTACACACACACACATATATATATACATACACATATATATATGTGCGCACACATATCTATATATATATATTGATGGTGTTTCATTAAAATCAAAGAAAAATGTGCATGTGGGTTACTTTTTTTAACTGAAAATTGGGGATTTTCTTAAATCGGAGAAAACCAGGATCTGTGGTAATGTCTCTCCTATTTTACAGCCCCACAGCCTGTTTTCAGCTCTAGCTAAAAACCTGAACTCAGGTGAGGTAATATTGACATGGGAGGTAGAAAAATGAATGACAGTGAAGAATTGGAGGCATTGTCAAGGCACTCAAGAAGGCTAGATTTTTTTTTAATGCATCTGAATAAAAGACATGTATTTAACTGTAACGACTACAGGACTGACAATACAGTATCCTGTGACTTTTTTTGCCTAGTGTCATAGATGGTAGGGGCTGGAAGAGACCTTACAGATCATCAGGTCCAGACCCCCTGCACTTGGGCAGGAAAAGCCGCGGGGGTCAGATGACACCAGCAAGATGGGCGTCAAGACGCTTTGCTGGGAATTTTTCTCCAATTCTGGATAGACGTGAATCTTTATACTGGGATCTGATAGCCCTTGGAGTTTTAAACTTTATATATACTCTAGCAAATTAATGCACATTCAAGGAGTTGTATTTGTTTTTTTGCTTGGTCTTAAACCAAATAATATAGTGTTAGCCCCTGTCATATTAATAAAGCTTCTAGTTTCTCTTTAACTGGAGAAAAATGTGTTGTTGGGTTAGATGTGATGATGCACCTCACCATCTGCACTCCCCTTTTTAAAATTTTAGATCCACCCATGTGGGTGATATTCTTGGTTCTGCCAGTTTCCCTGGTAAAAAATGTTGCTTCACCCATCTCTGCTTCAGTTTTCTTTATAACCCTTTGTCTTATTTAGTTTTAATACAAACTCTCTGCAGTAGGGAGTGTTTCTTGCTCTTTGTACAGCCCCTGGCATCACAAAGTCCTGATCTCAGGTGAGGCTTTTAAGTCATAATAGAATTGTTTCTGAATAGCATTGGCTTTCTGTGGAATGATAAACCAGTGTAGGGCCTTACAGTTTGGTTTCATTGTGAAAAAGAAATCAGTGATGCAGATTCAGGGATTTTTTTGGTTTATGCTCTGTACTGGAGCTAGTCTAACATGTCAACAGTTTTTGGGAATGTTTTGAAAAATGTTTATGGTTTTTTTTCCTTTTTCACTGAAATTTCCTGCGAATAGTTTGGTCTTTTTAGTAGAAAAAAGAAAAAGCAAACTTATTTTAAAAAATGTTTTCAATGAAATGTGTCTGACACTTGGAGATCTCTACCTTTTTCTTTTTGAAAAAGAGCAATGTCCCACTAAAGTTTCTTTCAACAAATGCTTTCCAACAGGTGTCTGTGTATGACCATCCCTGTACAAAGATGACTGAATGCCATGCAAGCTAATCCACTGCTTCAGGAATCTGAACAAGAAAATCAAAACCCACTTCCCTGAAGACAACTCTGGCATAAACATTGACGCTAGGAAGAGTAAGTGCAAATTCTACTACTGTTAGCAACAGCACCACCAAAAAGAAATATCACTACAAATCTAACAACAGAATGTTTTTCCCAAGACTGCACTGCTTACACACCAGTAAAAGGAACTCATGACATGAGACTATGTGTATAACAGTGCCATCTGGTGAGTCTTACCATAATGACAATAATAGACGAATATCAGAGCTTAATAATGGCAGAGAGAATGGGATGTGATTAATTTAATATTAATATTAAACTTGATTAAATTTGGTAGTGAACAGGGCTATCATTTTCAAACTAAGGTGCTCACCCTACAATATGACTCCATTCAGTCTGAGCGCTTCCACCAAAGTCACAGAGTCAATTTACAGTGCATAAAGTTAAGCACGTATGTTTCTGGACTCTTGTGTGTTGAGCATTAAGCATCCAAATGATATGTAAGCACCTAAGTGGTTAAGCTGACTTCTGAGAGACACTAAAAGCTGCAGCTCCTATGGTTCTGGTGAGAGCTGTGAGTAATCTGCTTTTCTGAAGCACACAGAACCCTCTTGCAGAATGTAAAAGATCAGGGCTTAAGGGTGGGTTTGGATTCCAGGTCTGAAGCACTCGTATTTGAAAATCTGTGGGTTTAGGGCAGAATCCTGTTTCACCTTACAGTTTTCTAGCCACATAGCTGCCATTTGTGGCATTGATGCATACTTTGTGATCCTGCTTTCCATACACTGGGGACACACAAGCACCCACATGCTACTGACCGTACACAGTAGGCTACACACTGATTGTCTAGCCAGGTACACAGTTACATCAGTACATACACATATATGCTGGCTAAGCAGAAATCATGACATTCTACCTGGCAAAAGCCCATGTCTACTGGGTGCAGGAGGGCCCCAGGAGATCATAGAATCATAGAATCAATGAGTCGGAAGGGACCTAGACAGACCATTG